CCCCCCCCCCCCCCCCCCTTTCCTCAGGCCGCTATGACGGACCTCCCAAAGGACTACTTCAAGCCGACGGCAATCATGGGCAAGTCGCCTTCCGAGGATGTTAAGTCCCCGGCCAAGCCCTCGGGTGCCTTGTTGAGTGGTGGCTCCGTGGAGGATCTCCCCTCAGTCATTCATGGGTGCGTCATTGCCGCCATCTCCCGCCGCCACTTTGTGTCCGCCCCACTGTGTGTGTGTGTGTGTGGTTCCGACTGCTTCCTCTGACCACATGTCATTCCCCCGGTGCAGCTTTGTAACCGAGGTCAAGGAATGTGGCAGTGTTCACATCTATCGGCTTCCGTCGACTTTCTTGCGCTTTGCCGCCAGCTCCTTCTTCCCCAGTGCGTGGCACATCGCGTCGTTCTCGGGCATGCTGATGATTTGCCCGGTCTTGGTCTTTGTCCCGTTCTTTCTCCCCTCATACTTACCGCCACATGTTTGCCCCCTCCCCCCCCCCTCCTCCCTCCCACCCTCCCCTCCTGCCCTCCCCGGCCAGACGGGGTTGCTCGATGCCCGGGCTATGCTCTCCACCTACGGCGTTCCGCCATGGCCGGGCGATCAACCGCCGTGGCCTGCCCGGGAGTCCTCTGCATGCGCGAGTGCGAGTGCATGCGTGGAGGTGTGCCACAGACTCGTTGAGGGTTGTTGATGCTCAGGGGGCCGTCACTTGTCCCCCGGCAGGCCAGATCTTCGGCGCGGATTCGCGCCCAGAAAAGGGCGGCCTCCCCCCCCCCCTCCCCCCCACCCGCGCACTCTTGGGATCCAGAGCGCATTCCACAGAGCCGAGGAAGCCTTGGATGGCTACGTCCCTCGGCATCTGCCAAGGTTATCCACCCTCGCGCCGCCTTTGCCACAATTGGGACAGAGTTGTGTCCTAATTCCGACTGGTGGCAGCCACTAAGCCCTGGGCATACACGGGGGAGAAGATCCCGACTTCTGCGGCCGGGCTTCTTCCTTCCGAAGACGCGCCTGAAGAGCTGGCAGCCTTGGCCGATCCCGCCCTCGCCCCGGGATCTAGCATCCATCTTCTTCACCGGCCCTCATCTTGTTCCTTTCCTCCCCCAGTCCCCTTTCCTTCTAGCCCCCCGAGCTGCCCTCCCTTTGGCTTTCAGGCGTTTCGCCCCCCCCCCCCCTCCACGCGCTCTCTCTCCCTCTCCTCCCGTTCTTCGGTCTTTCTTTTTTTTTTCCGCCCCCCACCCTCAGCTCCCCTTGTTGTGGCCCACTGGAGGTGTCGATTTGTTCCCCCTCCCCCC